TTTTGATGTATATCAAAGGATCGAACTAGTCTTCTTGTCTCATCAACAATATTGTACACAGAGCCTTCAATTTTGCTATGACATATTACAGGGGTGTAGAGAGCAAAGGTGAGCGTAACCCCTGGGTATCGAGGGTCATCGGTAGCCAGGTACAACGAAAGCTCAACTCGGAAACGGTATGGAGCGAAACGGAAAGGGTTTGAAACGGAACGAATAAAATAAGTAGTCTGCGACGGAAACGGAACGAAGTGAATCATGAGAACGGATTGCTTTAAACTGAAACGCCGACACCTCTGTATACGATATATATGGTCCAGGCATTCAACCAAATTTATTCTACCATTCAAACGAATGATTCAAATTTTCGAAGTCATAATATTTGCAAAACAAAATCAAATCCCGATTGAAATAAAAAGAATCAACCTCACTGCTTATAAATAATTTCAATAAACTGAAACCATAACATAGAATTTGTTTCGACCAATCAGATTTGAACATGAACATCACACACACACAGCCCTTATTTATTTAACATCTGTTCATTAATTCAATGAAATCATTTATTATGCCGGAGAGTATGTCTTTAGGCGAGAAACCGTGTATGATATTCAAAAAATATTCAACGTATGTGCGTTTATATTGGTAGAAAATATAACGAAGGTGGGACAAAATATCTGGAAAAATATCAGCAAGACCGTATGCGGCCTGAACTTATTAATTTCACAACATTTGTGAATCAATCCATCCAAATATGCAAACGAACGTTGATTATATCTACATTTTTTGTATTCTACCAAGTAAAACATTCGACAAATAAAACCAGTCGCTTGTATATAGGTACATTTGCGGAACAACACTACAAATATTTCACATTGATACAACTTTGACACAGGTGAAATTACACTCAAAGCCTATCCTACGCTTGTTCTTAACGCAGAATCCTGCCTCGGTCACAAATGCTTCCCTATTCTCTGTACCCCAGCCAACACCGTTCCCTGCAGCGCCATCTCTTGACAGACTACTAGGAAGACAGATAATCGAGCTGAGACTGTACTCTACCGCGGCAAGATTCACGTCGCCTATGTTATCTCTATGGCGACTGTGAACATCTGGATCCGCAATGGAAGCCACACCGTCGTCTTTTAATACTCGAAACACCTCGTGCATGCATTCTACTGGGCATGGAAGATCGTGTAGGACGTCAAACATAATTATCCAATCAAATTTGTTTGTCCAATCGCTTGGCAATGATGCAGCATTTGCTGTGAGAAACTTCACATTAGCAAGGTTTTCCGTTTTGGCTTTGGCTCTGTTAATGGCGACTTCATTGAAGTCGGCACCGTAGACTGTGGCGTCAGGAAAACGTTTGCCCAGTGCACGAGTCAACATTCCAGATCCCGATCCGAGATCAAGTATGGTTGTCACAGTGGAGGATTCTGAAATTGAAATGTGATTGTCAATAGTTATCACATTAAAATCACCGCGTAAGGGTTTTTTTCAAGTTAGGATTAAACATACTGTATATGAAAACTTCAAAGAAAAGAATGATTCTATTCTACAAAAACTACATAGGACAGTATGAGGCTCTATGAAATATTAACTGCATCGGACAACACCAGACAACATCTTGCAGCACCACGGTGCAATGGGATGTACGTTCAATCTTATTTTTAAATCATTTGGAACTATCATGATACAGCGAGGCAAACAATACGAACAATAAATTGAAGATTTTTTCGTTTTTGACGATTAACAGTGATAGATGTGTCGTCCAATCTTAATATTTCCTTGTTCTATTGTTACTGCTGTCTCCCATTAACTTATCAAGTCCCAGACATGTCCATCAATCCTATCCCTTTCTCACTGACCATGTCTATGAGCAAGTCCTCGGCTTCCTACAAAGAAGAAGGACTTAATATTATGATATAGGGCATTACCTCTCATTGTTAAAACCGGTTCAAACATAGAATCCAGAATAGTAGATGGATTTCCTCTTGCCAGTCTGCTATCTAATACGTCTGGTAATTCGACAGGCATATCATCATATCCATACCCTAAAGTGTAAAATGAATGTCAAAAATATCCCTGAAACAAATGGTGACGCCGCTGTATTGAAATTCATCTGGCGGTTTTTTTTATTATAAGTTAAACACATTTCATCAACTAAGTCTGAAAGGAAAATATGTATTTTGACCTTTTAACAATTTTTCTCAAAACGTTTATCAACGAAAATATATGTTTCAATACATTAATTACAAATTGTATATTTTTAAAAAAATGGAAAAGTGATGTGATGATGTTTCATAAGGTGAAAGAATACGCAGACTGGACTTTAAAGAAGTAGTTCAATACTTGTATTGAACTGCTCAGAGAGTATCAACGCCAACTAGACAAAGCAATTTCAATGAAGCGGTAAAATACATATATTTACCATTTTTTTTTATTTTATTTTTTTTGATATCATTCGGCATTTATTTCAAGTTGGTATATATATCATGTGTATACAGTATACTTGTTTCAATGAATAGAACAGCAATTAGTAAAAGGAAGGTAGGTGGTATCCAACGTTACAATTATAATAATAATGACGTCACCATTTGGGTAATGACATTCGGATATATCGATACCTGCTTTGTACAGTCTTTATCTAAACCTACTTACCAAAAGAGTTGTTCAATACATTACCAGAAAGAATCATTGCACGTGAATGTTTCAAATTGAAAAATGATGGTATGATATCATCCCCCATTTACAAAATTTGGGACCTATCATGACATGATGTCAAATTTTGATTACGTCGGAAATTCCTTCATTTTTTTATTTTTTTTTTGCAATTGTTGCTCGCTCCCTGACATAACTGGTAACCATAGAAAACGTTATCTTGTTCCCATAAAAATGACTCCGCCATCTTGTTCTATCATTTTGCAAAACAGTGTGTTTAAACTATATTTTGAAATGATTGAGACCACACAGATTACTATAATAGTGTTGTTTTAGTTGTTTTATTCGTAAATATTAGAATTCAAATGCCCTTTTTAAGAATTCTGATGATATGCAACCAATTTCCTGTCAAATGTTTTTTTTATTAGATAACGCTAACGAGCGTCCATGTCATAAAGGCTCGTGTCATATCGAATTACTGAACGAGTGAAATAAATTCAATATGACATGGACACTCATTTATGATTCAATTTATAAAAACAAAAATATAATTACGTCTTCTCAGCTGTCTCTATTTAGTTGAAACTAAAGTACCCTAATCATAGTATTGTCGTTCCGCGCAGTGGAAAGTTGTTACATCTTTTTAAGATAATGAACAGTTTTACATGCAATGAAAGTAATAATGACAAACTAAACATTTCAAATTCAAAAACAATAAATGTATAATGTGGTATAGTAAATAATAGTCGTACCCGTAGTGTCGAAGGAATATTTTCTCACGGTTTTGACCAATCGCAACAGCTTTAGGACTCATTTCACGTGTGTAATACCTTATTTATGGCATGGTTGTATGACATAGTAAAATGGTTCAGTCATGTAACATATATCTCTAATTATCTAGTTATCGTAGTTCATGTAAGATAATTCTTCCCCAACCTGGTAGTAAGTGACTTACCTGCCGGACCGTCCTTTCGGAAGCATTCTATTGCCTTTTTAGTCATGACATTTACTAAGGGGTAGAAGAAGGCAAAGTTAAATCTGTTGACACCAGGTTTGCAACTGTCGGGGATGAAATAGTTGTCGGAGTCATCTAGGGAGACGATTTTGCTGGCAACCATACAGCCCAGCCATTCCCGTACGTATCTGGAAAATTAAATGTATTAATGATAAGTTATTATCTAAATAAAAACATATAAATGTTCTATACGTTCACACTCACATTAGGAAAGTGCATGTATTCACCAAGGGTTTACCGTAATATATATATTAAACATTATACTGGCCAGGCCTTTATTTTAATTTCGATACTTGATGGTTTTGTTTGTGACCATATCTTCTCACATGAGCTAAGAACATAAACTGTCTCAGTTTCGATTGTTATTTCGTTTCCTCTTTTATATGGCGTTTGTCACATTTCAAACAAGTGTTGAAGCATTGTTGAAGGAGTGACGGCTATTAACTACGTAACTGGCAACGACATCTTCATGTACAAGGGAAAGAATTACAAGGGAGGTTAAGCAGCTGGCTGCTTTTGGTTATTGAGAAGAAGTCGTTTGAAGATTTTACGACATTTTACTCCTGTGACCTTGAAAATGGGTCAAGGTCATTCATTTGAACAAACGTGGTAGCCCTTCATCCCAGCATGCTACTATGTCAAATATCATCACCCTGGGCATTTTGGTTATTGAGAAGTTGTTTAAAGTTTTTAACATATTTGACCCCTGTGACCTTCAAAGTGGGTCAAAGTCATTCATTTGATCAATTTTGGTAGCCCTTCATCCCAGCATGATTACCTCCTTAACAAACAATTCTATTTTCAACAATTCAATATCTACAAAACAAAATTTCGTTTACAAACATTTCCTGTTTTCAAAAAGAACTAGACTTGTTCACTAGTAAAGAAACGTTATAAAACACATTTTCAATTATTCGAAAGACGACGAAATAATTACTCGTGCTTCTGATTTACACTCTTTCCTAAGAGAGACAAGGCAAAGTAATGCAAGACAATCCATAGTACCCCATCGGTATGGATTTATGTATTTAACACAATACATTTATGTCAGAAATATATACTGTGAGGAAAGTATCCTGATACATACTTCTTCGCACTCCGCTATTCAAAGATGTCATTGTTCATAAAATCAGGTTACTCCAGGTGAAAAGATATATCCTGGGCAAATTTGTTCAAAAGTAAAGTTCAAAGGTCAAATTATAGGTCACAGTGACCTAATTCGTGCACTATACACTGTGCACTCCGCCATCAAAAGATGTTTTTTTTACGCTAAATCTTGCTACTCGAGATGAAAAGTACAGATGATGTGTCCCGACGAAGTTTTTCAAAAGTTAAGGTCAAAGGTCAAATCATAAGTCACAGTGAGGTAATTCTTGCATTATGCACTCCGCCATCCCAAGATGACATTCTTTACCAAATCTGGTTAATTGAGGTGAAATAGTATAGAAGATATGCCCCGGACAATATTTTTTTTTAAAGTGAAGGTCAAAGGTCAAAGTATAGGTAACAGGGAACCGGTGGGTGCCTAATAAATGATAACGGTACGGACGTCTGTGTTAGATTTCTAAACTTCACTAGCCTACGTATAAATAACGCTTGTTCGCTTGCCCTGCTAATTGCTCAACTATGTCAAAATACCAAACTTTTTACAACCATTCTTGGTATTTTTAAATCGGGGTTTCACTTTTATTTTGACCCGGAAACTTCAGAAGTGGAACTAAAGGAATGTGAGTTTTGAAGAATTAAAAGATCTTTGTATTAATCTTGAGCATCCTCTCCTCAAAAAAGTTTCTTTTATCGGAACATTTACATAGTCATAGTCCGTGCTAATCTTATAATTACAGTTCCCCTTTTCAAGAAAGGCGTACGGCGACATCTATGAATGCTTATTCACTATTTTGTAGCATATTTATTGAAAACACGACAAAGTTCAATATTACTCTGAGAAGGAAATTATAAAACAAAAACATAAATCAGCATCAAATTATTTTCTCTTTGATTTTGTTTTTGTTATGTACCTGGATTCCCTTTTACTGTTTGCACTGTCACGTTTACTTCCGTGCTTATGAATTTAAGGAAAGATGAAAAATATTGTTTTTTGGCTCATATTTTCTATAGTATCGTCGATTTTAATTGCAAATTATGGTTTTGTAAACATTTCAGTATTTATATTTTAGTCCATAAAAAACATAGCAATGTATATCAAAAACAGTCATAATCCAAACAGGAATATTGATATTATTATGAAATGTTATTATAAACGTTTCCTGACCGTTTATTTCACTGTGTCAGGCCTCATCTGTTACACCTACAAAATGTAGCCTAGTCATCTAGTCAAATATCTTAATCTTCAAATTGTTCTATCAACGACAAAAAAGCTAGACCAATGGAAATGTGGTAAGAGTTTCCAAAGGGTACACGACTTCTGATTCTGATTCCAACGATGTAAATCTGGGTCAAATTCATGAACTGAGTACAGGTCCTTATAACGAAAACCGGGGTTAGTGACAACAAAACACGGCACATTTATGGGATAATCATTCACATGGTTGGCAAAATGATAGTGATTTTAATAATGCTATCTATTAGCACCATTGTTTGAAACAAAAATGAGTCATTTACGAAGTAATCATTTACAAATGCAATTGTTTATTAGTGACGATTTTTATTAACAGTAATACTTGATGAAATCGATTGGTAATCCATTTTTTCTAAATAATAGAGATTAGAATATAGTTTCATAAACTGATCATTTATTCATATTGGTCGATATGTATGTAACAGCAGAAGAGGATATTGCAGAATACGAGCACCATCATGGATATTTAGGATAAATGACATTTCATATAAAAATATCAATGTTATAATAAAATGAGAAACTGTAATGTCAAAGTATAATATTCTAAATATCAAGTATGTTTAAATTGTATTAGATTAATCGGGCAGCAACATTAATTGTCAATATTATCAAAGTTAATTAAATATAGCAACAAAAAGCAAGATCATTCTCGATGAATGTAGTATACTCCATACTTCATGCTGTGAATGGAGTAACTGCATAAATAATGTGTTATTTTGTATCTTTTTATACATATGCATTGTAATGACTTATAAAATATTTTTGCAAAACAAACATTCTATATTTCCATATTCAAAAATTTGTTATATCACATGTGATATCATAGTTTTGAAAAATAATAATGATGAAATAGCTGCAATTTAAATGTGCAATATTGGATTTTTTTGGAGAGCAATATAACATTGATATAGGCAAATTATTTCGTTGTGACGCACTTTCCGCGCTATGATATAGGCTCGTATTTGTCAATTTGTCATGTTGAAATGAATTAAGTCAAACCATATAAACTGTAAAACACAATAATATGCCAAAAATACAGACCAAGACATGTAACGGAAAGACAAAATAATAAGTTATAGTAGATAAAAACATATACTTAAATAATATTCAGATCACAATGACTTATCGTGTTGACCTCCTACCACCATTAGATAACACTCATTTCATTTCATTTCATCAGATTTTATTGAATTTATATATGTCAATTGGATTGGACATCAGGCTAGGCCTATTAAAGTCCTTTCCAAACTTATTTACAAACATTACATATATTCTGTCATAACAATCCAATTAAACAGTGCAGGGGAGATAACTCCAATTTAGCTTGTAAAATGAACATTAATAATTAAATAAATCATGTATTTTATTGACAACCCTTCTACATAAAATCCAAGGGATACAGGCCCAAAAGTCCTTGTGTATAAACACATTGGCCATCCACCCACTGGATATATAGGATAAGTTACCAAGAAATAAACATTTTGTAAAATTTCAGAATATGATATGGATTCATATAGGAAAATGTAGTTATTATTATTATATATTATTGGAGTTGATTCTCTTAAAATTTATTTAACAAGGCACTACTACAGAATATTCATGTAACTATGAAATAGTTAGAACAGGTTATAAAATAGTACACTCATAAATTCCATCCAGTCAAGCCGAATACCAGATATGTTGTGAAGATATATACACCAGTATCAATACTTATTAGCAGAGTGATCATGACACTATAAATAATAGCATCACTTTCAATGTAAAGTTTTGCTGTGAGTGAGATTACATATCAAGCCTATTAGTTTGACAAATGTAGTCAGATATACTTTTTAAAATGGATATGTTAATATCAGCGCTGCATATTAAGCATCCCTTTAATAAAGTTTTTAGATTAAAATGATCATGATTACCAGTTATACAAAATTGAGAAATATTTATTACTAATTGCATTCTAAAGTTATTATAGAGTGGGCATTCAAATATAAAATGAAATGCATTTTCATTTTCATTTCCACATCTACATGCTGGTGTGTCATTCAGATGATCCATATATCACTAAGTCACTATTTAGGTTGCTAGCATGATTTCTCAGCTGACAAATTATGATATTGAATTTTCTTGGCCCAAAGTATTTAAATATGCTAGCAATTTCTTCAGTGTTGTTCATATTATCAGACTTGATGAAATTTTTAAATTTTTAAATTGTTGAAGGGAAGTAGCATTTACAGTTTCTGCAGACGGAAGGTCAAATTCTCTACACATTGAGGGGAAATAACTATTGAAATAATTCTCAGTTTTACAGAAAGGAGGATCGAAAATACGGCTATTTCTTAGTTGGTATCCTACATTTATATTGCTGTGAAGGTATGGTTCAATGATGTCTTCTAAGTACTTAGGCGATTCATTATCTAAAATTTTGAACATAAGTGCTAATTTATGATTTTTTCCGCCTACAACAAAGTGATTCAAGTCCAGTTTCTGCATAAAGCTTACAATGAGAGGTCCCTCTACGCAATCCTTTAATAATCCTTATTGCCTCTAGCTGGATTGACTCAAGAATATTTTTATTTTTATTATTACAGTTATCCCATACTACATCCCCATATTCATGTATTGGTCTTATAAAAGAGGTATATATTGTTATAAGACTTTTTCTATCCAATTTGTGTTTTAACATTCTGAATATATTCTTTCTTTTATAAGCTTGCTCATAAATATTGTCAATATGATATGTCCATTTTCCATCACTACTAAAAGTTAAACCAAGATGCTTGTGAGTTTGTTTGTAAGTTACAGTTTCATTACCAAATAATATATCTGGATGATTTAGTACCCTTTTCCTCGAGAAGATTACAGATTCAGTTTTTAGTGAATTAAATTTGATATCCCATTTTTTTGCCCATGCATTAATATTACCTAGATCATTATTTAATTTCACCGTAATTTCATTTTGATTGTTGTCTATTACTTCATAGAGAGAAGTATCATCTGCAAAAAGTTTTATTTTATTTGTTACACATTCTGTTATATCATTAATATAGATTAAGAAAAGAAATGAACCAAGGACCGAGCCTTGGGGTACACCGGCTTTGACATGCTTAACAGTTGAATAAAACCCCTCTGTTGATACTCTCTGCTTTCTATTNCACATTCTGTTATATCATTAATATAGATTAAGAAAAGAAATGGACCAAGGACCGAGCCTTGGGGTACACCGGCTTTGACATGCTTAAAAGTTGAATAAAAACCCTCTGTTGATACTCTCTGTTTTCTATCAGAAAGATAATTACTGAACCATTGTAATATTTTCCCTTTTATGCCATACGATTCCAATTTAAAAAGTAAACCCTCATGCCAAACTCTATCAAACGCCTTACTTACATCACAAAATACAAATCTGATTTCATTATTTTGATCCAAGTTATTTACAATAGTGTCATATATAGATAATAACTGGTTTACAGTCGAGTCTCTTGGTAAGAAGCCTGATTGGTGTTTCGTTATGATATCACATTCATTCATATAATTAAACATATATTTAAAAATAACTTTTTCAACAATTTTGCTAAAACATGATGTAATAGATATTGGCCTATAGTTAGAGACATCATTTTGAGCACCCTTACCTTTGTATATTGCATTAATATTAGCTGTTTTCCAAGAAAGAGGTATAATACCAGATTCAATAGTCTTATTACAAAGTAAAGTTAGAGGACATATTAGAGAAGGTGCTAATTTCTTTATTATCTTGGGTATCATGCCATCTGGGCCAGGAGGTTTTTTATCATTAAGTAAACACAGTTGATCTTTAATGTCCTCTTCAGATATAATGATATTGTCTAGAAGGAAGGGAAAAGTATTTTCATGGGGGGTAAGGGGTTCAAGATTTTCAGAAGAAGTTGATATTGAGCTGAAGTAGTTATTTAGACATTCTGCTTTTTCAAATGGATGATGTATTAAGTTATTATTTTCAGAAAGAGGAGGAAGACAATTTGATACATTATTTGAATTCATGACAGATCTAGCAATTTTCCACCACTTATTAGGAGGCACAGATTGGTCACTAAGCGATTGTTGTAATTTTTCGTAATAAGTGTTTTTAGCTTCTCTAACAAGGTCTACTACTTCATTTCTAGCCTTTCTGAAATTTTCCCAATTAATTGCAGTGTTGTTAGTTACAGCTTTTTTATGTAATCTATTTCTCTGTCTAATTTTTTGCCTTATAATATTCCTCATCCAAGGTTTATCATTAGGGCGAACAGTTATAATTTTGGATGGTATACATTCTTCTATTTGATTATTAATAGAATCTGTTAAAAATTTATTAAACTCATTCGAGTCAAGAGTATTTATTAGTATTTCCCAATTTATTTCATTTAGAGCTCTATTCATTTCATCAAAATATGCATTGTCATAGTTTAGTATAGTTTTCTGGTAGGACTTTTGCTTAAATACAGAATATGAACAGGTAAAATGAATAACAGAGTGATCACTGCATATTGGTGTATTCACTGTATTATGTTTTATAAGATTAATATTATTAGTGAATAAAATATCAATAGCAGTGGCAGTAGTTTGTGTTATCCTGGTAGGTTTATTAATTAGATTTGTAAAGTTATATTTTACCATTAGTCTATTTAAATGGTGGTTAGTAGGTATATTCAACATATTTACATTTATATCCCCAGTTATTATGATGTTAAGTAATGTGCTACATGCATTATCTAGAACATGGTCTATTTTATCCCGATATTCAACATTTGATTCAGGTCTATAAATACATCCTTATAATATTTTTTGCTTATTGAATAATACTTCAATCCATATCATTTCTATATCTTCATGCTCAAGATCAATTCTTCTTACAGTATGTACTGTGTCTTTGTGATAAATAATTACTCCTCCCCCAGGTCCAGTTTTCTATCAAGTCTGTGAATGTTATGGGAATGGGAGTTAAGTGTTATTTCAGCATCAGTTATATTTGGAGAAAGGTGTGTTTCAGTAAGACATAATATGTCATTTTCATGTAATTCTGCTTCAATAATATCAAGTTTGGTTCTGAGAGATCTAACATTAAGATGTGAGATTTCTATGCTACATTGTACATTGGGGTCCTGGATTTAGTTCAATATCATTGCAAAGAAGTAATATATATTTGAATGGTACATAAAAGATATTCAATGTTTCTAAGTTTGAAAAAATGTGATTCATCAAAAAGTAAACAATATGTAAAGTAATAGCTAGGGTATGTAATTTTACCTGCAAATGCTCGGATGATCAATGTGTTGATATAGTAATAATACTCACAATATATATGTGTCCCAATAAATATAATTACGATATTCTTGTATTTATCCATTATCAAAGACAATTGAGTGGTAAACATTAGGACACATCAATAGGTTTCTGGTGTAAACAAACTTACGATAGGCATAATGAAACACTCGAGTCAATATTAATTATATCGATCAAAATAAGTTATCACCAAGGTTGCAGGTGAAACAGTGCTGAGGTCTCAGGACATGTAAACTGTTTTCGTTACAATTGAACGATGAACAAATGGGCAAACATGAAAATAAATGCAAGCGCTTGATATATACAGTTGAATAAAGGTCAATGCGACAGGTTGTACACAAAGTATGGCTGGTACTATACCTTTCCTTAAGGTGACACAGGTCGGCTAGTTGTTGACTAGAAACGGGTGTGGTCAGGTTTGTAAGGGCGTCAAATAATCCCAGCTCCTTTCCAATAGTGATGGAGGAAGTGATATACCCTCCTGCGATGATGCTAGTAATGTTGGTTTTGTAGCTGTCTAGGTCCATTTCACTGGGTTGTAAGTCACGCGTACGACTACTAGTTGACAATGAAGCGAGGACGTTTACCTTGACTGTGACCTAGTAACAGCGATATTGTATGCTAATTTGTACGCATCCGTGAACATAATAGTATGTATTAGCTGTTATAGGGAATTTTACAACTGGAGAGTCATAACAAATATGTCCAGCAGTCGGACACAGTTGATTTCTTGCATTTATCTTTACTAATAATTTATAGCATACATAGCATAGTGTGTGGTCGATAAAAGGTTCATTAAAGAGTGATATTTGAGAGGGGGGAAAGAAAAAAAAAAGGCAAAGTTAAGTTTTTGCACAGAGTGCAGCTGTACTGTTTCCGCATGACTGAGTATTGAAGAGACAACACTTGTTACACAACAACTGTACACGTCAGACACGGGGCCAATAACAGTGTACATGGCAATGTTATTAATCAACTTAACAAGAACACTAAGAAAATATAATTACCGTTACTCAGTTTTATTTTTATCAATAAAAATAACTTCTCAAATGTATTAGTTACAATCATAAATTACTTCTCTATGTCTTCTTATTCATATTTTGAACTAAAGAAATTATCCCACTTTGTTACCTTAACTATTATTCATTTAATATCATAAGTACAAAAAATATTAAAATGACATGATAGATATGTAATAAATCAATCTATTAATACATTTTATAAGTTTTATTTTACATTTAATGATAATTTTGGTAGAATAAAGAGACAAATAATAAGTCAATATTAGAATGGGCGAGGTATATTTTGCGTTTTTGGAAGCAAAACAAACAAAAAACAAACGAAAATAATCAAACGAAAATACCGAAAGGTGAACAAATCCTACTTTAAGATCGGAAGCAATGAGACAAGGGCAAAATACATGAAAAAAAACAAAAACCTTACTCGTGCACCATTGAAAAATTAAAAGGACAAGACGAGGCTTTTCAGAAGGATAAGCGTCTTCTACTTCATCGACGAGATGTAGAAAGCTTATAACACAGACCTGTTATATGTAATAGTATGTATATTCCACGTTCAGATAATTTATATAGATATTTTAACAGACAGAAACACGTTATAATTATACACTTTTAGTATAATTTAATTCAACCTGGAGAAATGTTATCATAGATGATGAGAAGTGTATTCTCATTTTGCCCATCGATGCAATTAACAGACCTTAATGAAAGATGTACGGTACCTTGATATGCTATGGAGGCTGCAATATCACTACGAAGGAAAGTAAACGACTGTGAAATTACTGAGGTGACTATAATTGTTACACTGTAAATCAATGTTAAGCTAGACATATTCCATTGTAAACACTAGTTGTATAGCATTGTAATTACTTTTTGTTACTTGGTATTGCAGTCTACTGCGGTGTGCCTGTGATGAACGGGAAGATGTCTCGGGATAACAAACACAGAACGTAAGTTACACGTTTATAAACCAATTCTTATCTACATACTCCAATCTGGCCTACAATTCAGATGTGATGAGCAATGTAGGCTACTTTTGGGCGGTTTATTCGATACATTGTACATTAAGGAAATGTATTTTCAACAATTGCATTGTTTATATAAGGCATGGTAGCCTATTGGTAGGGTGCTTCGCTTGTTCCAGTCTTCTCAGCTGTAAATGAGTACGTGGTTGGGCAATGCTAGAATTGTAACTCCAATTTGTCCTACAATTAAGATGTAATGAGCAATGTAAATTATTTCTAAATTTAACGCTTGGTTGGTTACAAGAACTGTAAGGTTTGTAAGATCATTGGCAATAGTAGTACATTTTCAACAATATTGTACAACCACAACTCTTACTAACACGGTGACCGTTGTGAAATATACGTCAAGAATGAAATATTCAACACAGATACACATATTTTATTCAGCAACAATTATTAAGTATTATTATAAGGCACGGTAACCTAGTGGTAGGGCGCCAGGCTCGTGACCGAAGGGATGCGGGTTCAAGTCACGGCACGGCACTGTGTTGTCTTTGAGCAAGATATTTTACCTCGCTTGTTCCAGTCTTCTCAGCTGTAAATGAGTATGTGGTTGGGCAGTGCTGGACTTAGGTTTAGCGTCCCATTAACAGCTTAGGTCATTTAAGGGATTGTATCCATATGTGTAATGTATGCGTGTATGTATGGATGCGTGCTTTGGGCAGCTGTATGATGGTGTATTCGCCTCCTTACAATAGCGCGGATCTGATACTTACTTTATAGAGCTACATGAACCTAACTGAAAAACATGCTGAAGACACCGAGCACAGTATTCCACCCGGTCGCATTATACTGATAACAGGTAAACAAGTTGATGCAAGTATCCTAAATGCTGAACATTTTAAGGACTTTCGTAAATATTACGGGTCTCTTAAATATTGCTCGAGAATATATAGCTACACATTTAAAAGAAATTCAAATATAGTTACAGTATTGAAACAATCAAAATGAAGTACTGAAAAAACAATTTCAGATCAGTCCTTTCTTTCTTTCATGAATCCATAATCCTACAGTCAGATTGGAGATTAATAAGAATGTAAACCCCATTGTAAGAGTCGATAATTACGTACTGGACTTGCGTAAACTTTATTGTTTCGATAGCTTGATTTGATCGGCTCAGGGTATTGAATACGAAGTATGATATTTTACTGTTATACTTAAAATAATCTCGTCTGAAGGGTATAATTCTCGTATTCAATGTCCAGCTCTTTCTTATGTTTTGCTATTAACGCAGATAAAACCAAACTATCATCGGCTAATAATACATATGATATTTGATATCTTTTACGGTAAACCTAATAAAATGATTTTTTCAGATCATCACCAAGGTTTTTTTATCGTGGCAAGTGAGCTTTACGCAAATAACATGCTTGGTTTGGTTTTTAAGGTTTTAAGTCATTGCAACCTCTACAACCGTACACGGACTGTGGTAACGATTATTAAGCCTTTCTTTAACTCAGACTGAAACTAGCTCGTTTAATAATAAATGATAATAATAATTCGAGGCTCTTATATACCGCTTTATTACAACTTAGTCCGTAGGTTGTCTCAAAGCGGTTCACAAATTATTATCCGTCGTCATAGGGCCTTTGAAACCAGCAAATATCTGTTCAGCTCCATGGGGAGTATACTGTTAGTGCTGCCATTTTCCCGCTCACAGCTATCATTCTACAATTCTAGCATAAAGTCGGCATCAGATCTGCGCTATCACAAAGAGGCAAGTTCACCAACATACCCTATATCCTGCATACACACACGCAAGCACGCATACACTACACACCTGGAGACACATTCTTAAATAACATTAGCTTGTGCGGCTGTTAAGGCCTGTGAACATGTGACTTTAACATGTTCCCGGCGTTCTGACATCAACCTGTTGTCAGCTGCCCGAGTTAAAAGCACTCAGTTCGTAACTTATTTTCTACGAAACAACATTCCAAAAGTACTTCTTCGGTCTTATTTCACACCGTGTGCATCGCTTCAAAGCGATTAATGTCAGCCACATATATTACAACCATTGAGTTATCAAACAAACATTACTCATATAGTTTGGTGCTGTTGATTTTTTTATCTTCATCGTGCATTAGTTTAAGTACACGATATATGCAAAGAATGCACTCATTTTTCAAATATCTATCAGCTTAATAATTGAATTTCAAGTTTGTCAGATACATCGTTGATCCGAAATAATGAAATAAAATATCATCAAATTAAATGTATATTTATTGATTATAGATTTTCAATTGGTAACGTGACTGGTTAACATTTTGACATTGAGGTTTTGTTGTCATCATCCTAGTCCTCGCTATGATTTGACCTAGATTCCCATGAGAGGTATGATTTAAAGAGCATACGACGCTTACCTTTTCGAAACACCTGGTATTCTTCTCCTTGTAGTTTTCAAGACTCCACATTTAATTTTCCTTTGTTTGAATTTTGTCCTAAATTTATCAATTTTGAGTTTGAATTACGGTTGTGTGAACACTCTGGGTGTTCGTTTCTTGTTTTGCCGGTGTATTGACACTGTAACATTTTTTTTCTATCTCATTTCAGAACTAGATACAATATTCCATGTATGCATATAAGTGGACCCTTTCAGCTTGCCCATTGCCTAATGTGTTCAACAAGACACTAGATTCACGGGGAAGTCAAATATGGTTCCAATGAAAAAGCAAGCCAGGACAATCTAATGAAACAGACATTTATTTTGCCGTTTGATGGAAACATAAGTTGTGTTTCTGCCTTGCTGAGATTCGATGCGTACTGTTGATGAATGTTCTTATAATATTAAATTTTACATATACAGTACAATTGTATCATTTGTTGTGTCCTCATTTGCGATGACGAAAAAAACCAATCAATTATAGCATGTCTATATAGGTGCGCAAATGTTACGTTTGTATGTATGTAGTTTCGCTTTCTTCGGACTAAATGCTGATTGGCTGCATGCACGACTTGTTGAAGAAATGAGCTTTGTAAAAATTGAACGCTGGATTGGTTGCAAATCTTACAAGAACTGTAAGGTTTGTAAGATCATTGGCAATAGTAGTACATTTTCAACAATATTATACTACCACAACTTTTACATACACTGTGACCGTTGTGAAATATACGTCAAGAATAAAATATTCAACACAGATACACATATTTTATTCTGATTGTAAGACTCAACAACAACCTTTTATGGGCAAATATCAGCCTCTGAACAATTCCAAAATCTTTCATATTTATTCAGTTTTGACACAAGTCAAGTAACAAGACATGCCTATTTTACGCTTGTTCTTAACACAGAAACCTGCCTCGGTCACAAATGCTTCCCTATTCTCTGTACCCCAGCCAATACCGTTCCCTGCAGCGCCCTCTGTCGACAGACTACTCGGAAGGCAGATAACCGAGCTGAGGCTGTACCCTACTGCGGCAAGATTCAAGTCACCTATGTTATCTCTATGGCAACTGTGAACGGCTGGATCTGCAATGGAAACCACACCGTCGTCTTTTAATACTCGGAACACCTCGCTCATGCATTCTACTGGATATGGAAGATCATGAAGCACGTCATGAATAATTATCCAATCGAATGTTTTTGTCCAATCGTTTGGCAATGATGACGCATTTGCCGTGAGAAACTTCACATTAGCAAGGTTTTCCGTTTTGGCTTTTGCTTTGTCAATGGCGTCTTCATTGAAGTCGGCACCGTAGACTGTGACGTCAGGAAAACGTTTGCCCAGTGCACGAGTCAACATTCCAGATCCTGATCCAAGATCAAGTATGGTTGTCACAGTTGAGGATCCTGAAATTGAAATGTAATTGTAAAGTTTGTGTTTGCTCGATGGATATTTGCATTAGGCGGCATGATACTCCTAATAACTAGCCAGCTACATTGGGCAACATGAGGGTCTATTAAATTACATATCTGGCAGCAATACTTTACATTGAGTTCCGCGTTATTTCTAATTTGTAAAAAATGAATATTGAAACTCTTATAATACAGAGTAGCAACCGATACTCACAATGAATTAAATATTTTAGTTTGTGACCATTAACAGTGATAAATATGTCTTCCCATCAGAATATTTCCTTATTTTATTCTTTTACTGCTATTTCTCATTAACTTATCAAGTCCCAACCCTTTCAATCGGTCCCGTCCCTTTTTCACTGACCACATCTGCCAGCATTTCTTCGGCTCCCGACCGTGAAGAAGGACTTAATATTAGATATGGGTATTACCTCTTATTGTTAAAACTGATTCAAGCATAGAATCCACGATAGTACATGCATTTCCTCCTTCTAGTCTGCTGTCTAAGGCGTCAGGTAGTCCAGCAGGCATATCATCGTATCCAAACCCTACAGTGTAAGATATCCATTGGTAAAAAAATCAATGTCAAAAATATCTAGAAACTTTGGTGTCACGATTTTTCTTTCGATATTTTCGACATTCAACTTTTTTTTAAACATTATTTAAACATTTTATTGACACAATAATAAAAATAATAAAATAATAAAACATTTATTTGGACTTATTAACAATTTTTTTCTGTTAACGTGAAAGCGTTTTTCAACGATACTATAGTTTTATACATTAATAACAAATTGTATATAAATACAAACTGAAAAGTGGTGTGATGGTGTATCATTAAGTATTTAACCAGGTATCCAATGTTTGCAATTATAATGTCATAATGATAATGAAGTCAAAAATCTGGTTATGACATTAAAATCGGATATATCGATATCTGCTTTGTACAGTCTTTACCTAAAGCTACTTACAATGTACCAATAAAGTTGTTTATTCCAATACCAGAAAGAACCACGTGAATGTTTTCCAATTGAAAGATGCCGGTATAGTTCCATTCCCTCCTTTGAGTAATTGGGGAACGATCATAACGTGATGTCAAATTTAAATTACGTTGGAAAATTACGTTGGTAACAATAGAAAGCACAATCTTGTTCCCCCAAAAATAGCTGTTCCAATCATTTAAACAGTGTGTTAAAACTGTATTTTGAAAATGAATGAGACCACGGAGAATGGTAAAATAATGTTGTATTTGTTGGTTATTCATTGTAACGCAATTTTTAAAATTAGTAATGGTATTCAATAAATTCCCTGTCAAAGATATTTTTGATACACTACCGCGCTTTATGAAGTATGAGTGAATGAAACAATGAATTAAAATGATATAACTGTAGGTGTATAAGTGTCAATGTCATAAAGGCTCGTGTCATATCAAATAACTGAACGAGTTAAATATATTCAATATGACATGGACACTCTTGTAAGATTACATCTATCACATAACAATCATAATTTGGAGAGAAAAAAAACACTTAAAACACAATCATTTGTTCTCAGCTGACTATATTCAGTTAAAACCGAAGTACTCCAATTATAGTATCGTCGTTCCTTGCATTGCAAAGTAGTTCCGTTGGTCTTAATGAACAGTTTTACATGCAATAAAAAAATAATGACAAATAAACATTTCAAATGGTATGTGGTAAAGTAAATGGAAGTACTACCTATAGCGGCGTAGGAATATGTCCCACAGTTTTGACTAATCGTTCACGTGAGTATTACTATATTGATGGCATGGCCGTATACGTATGACACAGTAAAAGGGGTAAGTTATATAATGTATATATCGGTAATCATCTGGGAGGTTTGTATCGGCTACAGTCATCGTAGTTCATGTAGGATGATACATGTCTTACCTGCCGGACCGTTCTTTCGAAAGCATTCTATGGCTTTTTTTGTCATGACATTTACGAAGGGGTACAGGAAAGCGAAGTTCAAACTCTTGACCCCAGGCTTGCAACCGTCGGGGATGAAATAGTTGTCAGAGTCATCTAGGGAGACGATTTTGCTGGCTACCATACAGCCCAGCCATTCCCGAACGTATCTAGAAAATTAAATTAATTAATTATTAGATATTATCTAAATAAAAACACATAAATGTTCTATACGTTCATGCAAAATGCATTCATAATTTTATCGGGAAAGTGCATGTATTCACCAAGGGTTTACAATAAAATATATATTATACTGGACTGGCCCCTATTTTAATTTCGATACTTGATCGTTTTGTTTGTGACCATATATTCTCACTTCAGCTTAGAACATAAACATTTTAGACTTAAGTTTCGTGCCCTCTTTCATTTGGTGTTTGTCATATGCATACGGGTGTCGAAACAATGTTAAAGGAGTGACGGCATTTCACAACGTAACTGACAAAGATGTCTCCAAGGAAAATAATTACGGAAAATAACATGTTTGCGAACTATTTACAAGTATAGTGTTTGAAAACACGACAAACGCAAAACATGCACTAATGGTGAAATTATGAAAATAATCATAACAAGAAACCGGAAATGGCGATACATTACCTTTTCATGTAAACGATTGAATATTGTTAGAGTAACTGTACCGTAGAGTTTCTAATGGTAGATGACGGATATAGCGGAATAACATTACCTAAAAAGTGTAAATGGGTTTTGTTCATGAATGAATTTCAAAGAAGCAGCATTCCAAGCATCACATGTGATACACATCCTTTAAGATACATAAGCCCTGCAAGTTTAGTTGATGTACAACAAGTACTTACTTAGTAACTGACCTTAACTTTCATTCTTTTTGTTCATATTTTGCTATTGCATCGTCGATTTTAAATGCGAATTATGGTTTTGTAAACACTTAAGGTTTTTTTAGTCCATAAAAATCATAACGATTCCTATCCAAACAGTCAAAATCCGAACAGAAATTTTGATTTAATTATGAAATTTTATTATGAATGTTTCCTGTTTCACTCTGCCTGAACTCGAATGTTACATCTTGCCTAGCCAACAAGTCAAATATAAGTTACATTGAATATCTTAATCTTCAATTGTTCTATCTATAAAAAGCAAGAGAATACTAACTCAACAGCAAAATCGTAATTCGAACTCAATCTCTGCACCCATGGAATATTTCACAGTAAAAAATGATGGCCACCTTGTGGGTGATTTTCAATTGTTTTATTTACGAAAAGCAAGAGAATATCAAAGCGTCAGCAAAATCGTACATCGAACTCAATCATCTTCCATACTCCAGGGGTTACGCTAATTTCCACTCTCTGCACCCATGGAATATGTGACAGCAAAAAGGGGGATCAGAGTGCGCCACCTCGTGAATGAGACGAGAAGACTAGTTTGATCCTTTGAGGTATATAAAAAGAACCTTGCGGTCGAATATCGGTAAAATTGACAGTCGGGTGTCGCTCCTCTGTAATCTCCAAAAGACATGTTAGCATAAGATTGGTCAGGTTTGTTTTTACCTGAGAACAATCAAAAGCTAGCCGCGTGTCTTCAGTTTTGCTGACATATTCCAGGGGTGCAGAGAGCGAAATTAAGCCGAACCCCTCGAGTATCGAGGATGAACTCAACATGAAATAAGGAAACATGTCACGGAGAATTTCAAAAAGGGATCACGTCTTCTGCTTCATAGTGGATACCCTCCACGTCAATCTAGGGTAAATTCATGAACTGTCAGGTCCTCATAACGAAAAACGGGGTCAGTGAAAAAATCCGAAACAATGTACATTTATGAGATAATGAAACACAGCGACCTTCATACAGTGCAAAGGAATGGCATCTTTCAAACTGAGATTATCTAGACATGGTTGGCAAAATGATAGTACAGTTCATATCAGTTTTTATTAATGTTATCTATTTTCATCATTTTTAAGAAAAAAATAAAGTCACCTACGTAATAACCATTTTACAAATAAAATTGTATATCGATGACAATTTTTATTTACAGAAACACTTCGTTCAATTTTTTTTAAATAACAAATATTCGAATGTCGTTTCATATGCGTATTATTCATATTGGTCGATATGCATGTAACAGCAGAAGAAGATATTGTAGATTATGAGCTACTGCTTGGATATTGAGGATAAATGACATTTCATATAAAAATACCAATGTTATAATATATGAGAAACAATATACTCCGTACCTCATGCTGTAATGGAGTAGCTCCATGAATATTGTGTTATTTTGTATCTTTTTATACATATGCATTGTTATAGAGGTTTAATATGATATGAAACTTAAATAAGTCTTATATGCGTCATAAATTGATTGATTTTTCAGGTAAATTAAAAAAACATCACATTTTAATAGTCGCTACGATTGAAATAAAACTTGCACTTCTAGGGAATAAGCGTTCATACCTGGAGATGACTTATAAAGTATTTTTGCAAACCAAATATTCGATTTTTGCATATTCAAAAACATGTTATATCACATGTGATTTCATAGGTTTGAAAAAAATTAATGATGAAATAGCTGCCATTTAAATGTGCAATATTGGATTTTTGTGAGCAATATAACATTGATATAAACAAATTATTTCGTTGTGACGCACTTTCCGCGCTATGATATAGGCTCGTATTTGTCAACATATATGTTGAAAGAATTAAGTCAACACAATAATATTCCAAAAATACAGACCAAGACATGTAACGGAAAGACATAATAATAAGTTATGATAGATAAAAACATATGCTTGAATAACATTCAGACCACAACGACTTATCGTGTTGACCTCCTACCACCATTAAATTAAACTCGAGTCAATATTAGTTCAGGGAGCGTAGGTAGATCTATCGTTCAAAGTAAGCGATCACCAAGGTTGCAGGTGAAACAGTGCTGAGGTCCCAGGGCATGTAAACTGTATTTGTTACAATTGAACGATGAACAAATGGGAAAACATGAAAATAAATGCAAGCGCTTGATATATTCGGGTAAATAAAGGTCAACTCGACAGATCGTACACAAAGTATGGCTAGTACTATAACCTTTCCTTAAGGTGACAAAGGTCGGCCAGGTGTTGACTAGACACGGGTGTGGCCAGGTTTGTAAGGGCGTCAAATAATCCCAGCTCCTTTCCAATAGTGATGGAGGAAGTGATATACCCTCCTGCTATAATGCTGGTAATGTTGGTTTGGTAGCTCTCTAGGTCCATTTCACTGGGATGTAAGTCACGCGTACCACTACTAGATGGCAATGGGGGGAGGACGTTGACCTGGTTTGTGACCTAGCTAGTAACAGCACCTGTTATACTACTTGGTACGCAGCCGTGAACTCCGGACGTGCTGTTATAGGGAATTTTACACATGGATAGCCATAACCGTATCCGTTCCGCTGAAAATGTTCAAATATGTCTAGCAGTCGGACTCGGTTGATTTTTCTTGCATTTAACTTTGCTAACAGTTTATAGTTTACATAGCATTNTAGTCCTATATGACTGGTCTAAAAATGCATGTTTTTATTTCTCAGATCCGTATTTTTTGACCGATTTCGATAAAATTTGGCATGATTATTCTATACTGCATCCTTGATTTTTTGAATCAAATAGTTTTTATAAAAAAGTTAAATTTGATTAAAAATTAAAGTTTAAATTCATTTTAATTTTAATTTTTTAATTATTTTTTTAATGGCAGAGTGTTTAAATATAGACACTTAAATTTGCATATTATGTGGTTTTATGTATTCCTACACCTGATTTTTAAAAGTAAAAATGGAGGAATTCTTTGAATTGTATCAATACAGAATATTAGAAAATTCAGTTATCAGTGCAGAAAATGGAACATGTAGAATCTGGCAGGGACCATTAACAAAGAATGGAAAATATGGACTGATTAGTTTCCGAGATCCCAGGGATTTGAAATGGAAAAAAAAACATGCTCATAGACTGTCATTTATGGTTTTTGAAAAAAAAATAGATATTAGAAGTGATATGGATTGCTCGCATTTGTGCCACAATAGTTTGTGTGTAAATGTAAATCACATTAGTTTAGAGCATCATTTCATTAATAATAACAGACAATATTGCTTAAATTCAAATTTATGCTATGGTCATGTAGGTTTTAGAAATTGTATGTTGGAATTGAAAGTGGCTTGATTGAAAAAACAACAAACAACTATTTTTGAGGGTATTAGCTATTGTATACACAGATACAACATTGTCCGACTACCACCACGTGGAGGTTCCCTCTTTAGGTAGTCATATATATGTAACTTTTATTTCATTTGTTACATATTTCTTGAATTTGGAATTTTGTCTTTGATTTCAAAAAAGTCCTCAAATTAAATGTCATTTTTCTCTCAATACAGGTGGTCCTGAGGTTGATTGTCTCCCCTGGTTCGATGCAGTGTTGGATCAAGTTGACCTTTCCTGTAGTCGGACTTCCTGGCAGACTTTGACCTGTTTGCATGCTCCCTGTGCTGTTCCACCAACAACTCAAGATTTCTCTTCTTGACATCGGGTTTGTACTGACGCTGGCGCTGGTACATTTCCTCGGAGCTTATTTGGTCCAGCTGATGTCGAACCTCCTTACTCAGAGTTCCACCAAGATGATCTACTTTCTGCTGAGTGGCCTTGCCTGCGGTATTATTTATGGTTAGAATTGTGTTGTCCAACCGTCCCTCAGCATTTCTTCCGAAATTCTGGTACTTTGGCAAGGAAACATTCAGCGTCCGATGACATCCCTCATTCTTTTGGGTAGATGTACTGAGTCGCATTGATTGGACCGTCTCGGTGCTGAGTTTCATCTTCAGGAGTTCCAGCACTAACATCTCATCATCTGATGTCATCTGCAGGCCGTGAATTTTGTTGGCACTTAGGAACATTGAGCGTGTCCACCAGTTATTACTGTCACCCCCAGAGCACACGACAGAATGCTGTTTGCATTTGGAGCAGTCACCGGAGTAGCACGCAACAGTCGCATCAAGCACAGCGGGTAAACGTTTTGTTATAATGTCCATGTTTCCATTGTGAAGTTTCATCAGGTCCTTGAAGATCAGACTGCTCCGGGCTTTCAGGTCCTGAGAAAATATTTTCTG